TAACACAAGTGCAGTGTAATGTTTCACTGGCAAGCTGGGACAGAACAATCACTTGATTTTGGTTATTCACTTAAAGCACATCAAGCACTTAGTATGTATTTTTGACAATGTGCTGTAGAGTATAAAAAGGTGTGTGTGTGTGTGTGTGTTTAATCAATAGCAAATGTTAAATTCATAGCAAATGTAGTTGTTTGTCTTCTGAGAATTATGATTTCCAAGTTTTAAGAGTTCATATGCCTACTTTAAATTCAGAATACATTTTCAGAATTATTTTAATTTCATTTATTTGATTAATCATGATATATACTTGATCATTTGTAATACAATTGAAATTTTATCTTAAAAACAGAATCCCATATTGTGTGTGTGTAAACTTGATTTATTTTCAAAGATACATTTTAATATTAACATATATATATTCCCTCTCTCTGCTCTGGAATTTTTTGACTCGTGTCTGTTTTGGGAAAGTCACATAATACTTACGTACCTTTTCTTGAACCTTTGTTCACTTCAGTGTCCATTGCTTGGGTGCGTTACAGCCCTTCGTGGGTGCCTGCAATGACTGCATATCACTGCAGAGGACAGCCACCTAAAGGAGAGCTTTTTTAAACTCCCACACACAGTCCTGACTGTGAGGACACACACCTCACCACATTCCCCAGTGGGGTGTTCAGCCCTCGACCTGCTGAAATAAACAGCTGAGGATCTCTGTTTAAGTTGATGAGGTCCAATCAATTTGATTAATGAGTTGCTGAAGGAGGAATAGGAATGAGATAATCTACAGTGCTGCACTGCAGGAGGGAGCAGATACTGGTCAGACAGAGACCCCTGCTGTCCGTGTCACGCTGATCAAAGGGGGATGCTGCTTTCTCAAAAGTGGCTCTGTCTCTCATCATCAAATACATTTTATGGAATAGACCTGATCTTTTTTACTCTTTTGTGAATTAAAATAATAATTTTGTTATTTGTATGATTTTTTTTATTTATTTAGAGCTCCGTGAAAAAGTCTCGTTAGGCTAATGAAAGGTGCAATTGTGCAAAAAGGTGCAAAAAAATGTACCTTCGTTTTGCAGAATCACATTTTAACTGAACGTCAGCAATCAATAATTAATTCGACATTTGCTTCTATCTAATTTCCAAGTATTTTTTTTATAACTGTTCTGTTATCAAGCTGGTAGGGCCTATCCCATGAGGAAATATCCTGAATTATGCCGCTTGCTCGTGTCTCCGAGCATGTCCCTTGATCGGGTATGTCCCCTGCATGATGTCCCTCTATCATGTGCCTGGATCATGTCTCTTGATCATGTACCTGACCATGTGTCTGAATGATTGTCCTGACTGCCAAACTGTGGCGAGTAGCTACACAAGCCTACCAAATTTTATTTGAAATCGCTTCACAGAAGCGCTACTTTTAAACTAGTTCAGCGTTTCGAGTAGTGAGCTAACCAAGTAGAGGCTCATTTTTTATTTGAATAAACTAGTGATGCAATTTTCCCCCAATGAAATGAAAAGGTAAGCAACACGATCCAAATCTGTTCTAGACTCCGTTCTGAATCATTCAGTCTAAAGAGTCATTTGGAGATACTTTATAAGGTACAGAACAATATAAGAACGCTGGATGAAGAGGAATATTTGCTCACAATCCACTGAAAACAGTTGTGGAATATATGATGTCGTTTAAAAGTGATGAAGATTTTTCAAGGCAACACTGAACAACTCTGTATGGCCTACAGCAGGTAAAGACGTTACAATAAAGCACTTAACCATAGTATAGCAAAACCTTGGGCATGTACTTTGGGCAACTTGTTTTTTCAGTATGTCCCATATTATTCAAACAACTATACTACAATGCAAATACTATGTGGCTATCAAAGTTCAAGGGACAATATGTTATTGAAAATAAAACATTTGGTATGTTTTTCAGAAGACATATGTTTTCTAGATGTAAGTCGCTCAGCACTTGTCAGAGTGTATCCCTGTAGGGGTAATACAGGTCAAAATAATAAATCACCACCTGTTTTTCTAATTATAGATCATATATGTGCAGAGACGTTTGTTGTTGAGAAACAATTGCACGTTCAAATGTATTTTTAAAAAATTGAATAATTAAAGGATCTCTGTTTCTTCCGTTTTAAAGTATCTTCCCCAACAACACTGGTGCCAGAGTAAGTTTCTCACAGATCCTGTTTAGAGACTCAAACATATCTGACAATGATGCATTTGCGCTGTTTTCGTTCAAATCAAAGCGTAAATACACGTAGAAAACATATACTTGTGTTGCAGCTGAGCTGACACAGAATATGAAAATGGCGCTACGGTGATGCGGAGAGACACAGAGGAGACGAATTGTTGAATAAAGTCGTTATTTTTGTTTTCTTCGCGTACAAAAAGTATTCTCGTCGCTTCATAACGTTACGGTTGAACCACTGATGGCAGATGGACTATTCTGACGATGTCTTTCATACTTTTCTGGACCTTGACAGTGTAATTTACTTGGCAGTCAATGGGACAGTCACAAGCCTCCCGGTTTTCATCCAAAATATCTTGAATTGTGTTCCCGAAGACGAACTAAGTTTTACGGGTTTGGAACGACATGGGGGTAAGTGATTAATGACAAAATTTTCATTTTGGGGTGGAGTATCCCTTTAACTTTTAGTCTGCTTGTTACGGTCAAAAAAATAAATTTATACAGTCACATTACTATATGCATTAGCCTACATGAGATAGCCTATGATCACTAGATTTTATACAGGTGTTACAATAATGATTTTGTAAATGGTGATCAGCAACCAAATATTGATAATGTGGATGTTACTGCCTTTTGCCTTGGTGTGACTTCTCACGTTTTGGAGAAAATGCAAAGGCAGAGTACATTAACTTCAGCTTTTCAGCAGTTTGAGCTCACAATTTTTTTAATGTAGATCATTTTCATTACTAAAACATCTAATTGTTACATTTTCAGTGTCCTAACTATAATTAATTTGGTTGGACAAGTAAAAAACTTTAAAGTAATTTTTCTCAGTTTCATACTCTAGCGAGTTAAGGTATTTTGCCTTTGTAGGGCAGTATTGATCCCCTAAGGATTTTTTTCCGACTATCCGGGGCTTTTTGGGGGCCCTAAGTAAGAGTAAAAAAGGAAACAGTAATTTTCTTATATTTTTAAAGTGCATTATCCAAACTCTTCAAAACTTGTAATATATGAAGAACAAGTCATTCTGAGGAAGCATGCTTATTTTCATGAATTTACTATGTTTTATTGATAACAGAAAATTAAAAAAACTATTAGACATCTGATCTCATTCTACCTCTCTGTGTGGGGGGTGGGGGGTGGGTAAGCACCACTTTAAAACATCACACAGATGATTCTTTTCAATACATTTTTGTTCTGAAAGTGTAAGTGTGGTGTTCTATATTTTTAATGTTTGCTTAACTAAATCCTCATTTTAATCCACGCTTCAGATTTATTACTATGCTGACAGCATCTATAGCTCAGCAGGAGTGGCTGATGAGCACGTTCAGTATGTGACAGCTGGAACAGGAGCAGTTAATGTCTTCATGACAATAGCAGCTGTAAGCCACTTATTGTCTCTTTTTTTTTTACTTATTAATGCTCTTTATAGCTTTATGCCCCTCTTGAGGAGCTAATTTACTTCATAAAGAAATATGAGTGTAAAGAATATGATTTTCTGTTTGTGTAGGTGTTCATAGTGGAGAAATCTGGCAGAAAGTTGTTGCTACTGATTTACTTTGGTGTCTGCTGTGGAGCCTGTTCCAAATCAAAGCGTAAATACACGTAGAAAACATATACTTGTGTTGCAGCTGAGCTGACACAGAATATGAAAATGGCGCTACGGTGATGCGGAGAGACACAGAGGAGACGAATTGTTGAATAAAGTCGTTATTTTTGTTTTCTTCGCGTACAAAAAGTATTCTCGTCGCTTCATAACGTTACGGTTGAACCACTGATGGCAGATGGACTATTCTGACGATGTCTTTCATACTTTTCTGGACCTTGACAGTGTAATTTACTTGGCAGTCAATGGGACAGTCACAAGCCTCCCGGTTTTCATCCAAAATATCTTAAATTGTGTTCCGAAGACGAACGAAGCTTTTACGGGTTTGGAACAACATGGGGGTAAGTGATTAATGACAAAATTTTCATTTTGGGGTGGAGTATCCCTTTAACTTTTAGTCTGCTTGTTACGGTCAAAAAAATAAATTTATACAGTCACATTACTATATGCATTAGCCTACATGAGATAGCCTATGATCACTAGATTTTATACAGGTGTTACAATAATGATTTTGTAAATGGTGATCAGCAACCAAATATTGATAATGTGGATGTTACTGCCTTTTGCCTTGGTGTGACTTCTCACGTTTTGGAGAAAATGCAAAGGCAGAGTACATTAACTTCAGCTTTTCAGCAGTTTGAGCTCACAATTTTTTTAATGTAGATCATTTTCATTACTAAAACATCTAATTGTTACATTTTCAGTGTCCTAACTATAATTAATTTGGTTGGACAAGTAAAAAACTTTAAAGTAATTTTTCTCAGTTTCATACTCTAGCGAGTTAAGGTATTTTGCCTTTGTAGGGCAGTATTGATCCCCTAAGGATTTTTTTCCGACTATCCGGGGCTTTTTGGGGGCCCTAAGTAAGAGTAAAAAAGGAAACAGTAATTTTCTTATATTTTTAAAGTGCATTATCCAAACTCTTCAAAACTTGTAATATATGAAGAACAAGTCATTCTGAGGAAGCATGCTTATTTTCATGAATTTACTATGTTTTATTGATAACAGAAAATTAAAAAAACTATTAGACATCTGATCTCATTCTACCTCTCTGTGTGGGGGGTGGGGGGTGGGTAAGCACCACTTTAAAACATCACACAGATGATTCTTTTCAATACATTTTTGTTCTGAAAGTGTAAGTGTGGTGTTCTATATTTTTAATGTTTGCTTAACTAAATCCTCATTTTAATCCACGCTTCAGATTTATTACTATGCTGACAGCATCTATAGCTCAGCAGGAGTGGCTGATGAGCACGTTCAGTATGTGACAGCTGGAACAGGAGCAGTTAATGTCTTCATGACAATAGCAGCTGTAAGCCACTTATTGTCTCTTTTTTTTTTACTTATTAATGCTCTTTATAGCTTTATGCCCCTCTTGAGGAGCTAATTTACTTCATAAAGAAATATGAGTGTAAAGAATATGATTTTCTGTTTGTGTAGGTGTTCATAGTGGAGAAATCTGGCAGAAAGTTGTTGCTACTGATTTACTTTGGTGTCTGCTGTGGAGCCTGTTCTTTTGACTGTAGCACTTTACTTCCAGGTATAACAACTCTATATTTATTTAAATACAAACTAGAGATGCTTAATTTTGGAAAAATAAAATGTGGAGATATTACAAATGTTTAGAAACTAAAATTATATATATATTGGTACATTCCATTGTGTGTGCTTATTTGCCCTGATTTTACATTAGGTTATTTTTGCCAACATCTTCCGGTCATTTTAAGTCAGTCGTTGAAAGCATTAATTATATAATACAGTTTAATGTAATCTTTGGCCAATTTCAAAGTGAATTTCCATTTTGTATACTGTACATTTATATGTTGTGATGCCTAAATTCACTTGTGTTAAAAGAAAAACTAAAATATTGTGTAAATAATGTCAGTAATATGTTAATATGATTATGACATTATTTAGACATAATATTTTAAAATTAAAATATTATTGTTTAAATGAGGTCATAGCAATATTTTAATATAGGTAATTTATTGGTTATTGGCCATAACATAATAATTAATGGTAAATGGTTTATCTGTGTTGGCGAGAATTTTATTTCGGTCCATTCCTAACAGAAGCACAAAGAATTCAAATGTTTGTGTTTTATTTTTTATATATTGAAACAAACTGAATGTATACTTAGACAAAGTATTATGTTAAAATTAAAATGTTTTTGTCTAATTAATGTTAGAGTAATATTTTAATGTAAGTTATTTATTGGTTATCGACCATAACATAATAATTAAAAGTTTATATGTATATCAACCAGATTTTTGATTTCTTGACCCCTAATACAAGCAATAAGGATTCATATTGGAGCTAGTTGTTATGACTAATCAGATTCACTTTATCCCAATAAGGGAGTTTCCTTATGTGGCCCATTATGTTTGTAGTAAACTCTTGTTTACAGACAGGTGTTATAGGCATTGTAAAATATCATTCCCAGCTGAGATTTTAATTTTAGAGCTGTGAATGTGCTGGCCTGACAAATTTGCCTCTTGGGTCTGTGTGAAATGCAAGGCTATAAATGGTAGAATAACTGCTGCACATTCCACCCACAGACTACACTGGACTGGATGCCCTATGTCAGTATCAGCTGTGTCATTGTTTACGTCATCGGACATGCTATTGGCCCAAGTGAGTTCACACCAATCCCGTAGGGGCATATTACAGATGCACAGGGGGGTTTGCTGCAACCCAGTGAATTCACTCCCTCACTTTCATTTGTTGTATTCCTTGGTGGGGAATGACAATAGATTTATGCCACAGTTCTTGGGATTTTACATTAAAACCCTGGAGTGAATGCGGGAGAAGTGCTTTAAAGTGGCAGTAAAACAGATTGTAAAAGCAGCACAGTGTTTCAAGCAATCTCTTTTCTTACTGTCTATAAAAAGATGACGTGTCTGATGATATCCAGATTTGACAGCTTTTTCTGCATCCCTTTGCAGGTGCTATTCCTAATGTAATCACTACAGAGATGTTCCGGCAGTCTTCTAGACCACCAGCCTTCATGGTGTCTGGCTCGGTTCACTGGCTCTCAAACTTCACAGTCGGCCTGGTCTTCCCCTTTCTAGAGGTCAGAGGTCAAACACAACACTAACAAAGTCATAGTATTGCACCAGTTGATGCTTTTGTTAAGTTATTAAAGGAATAGTTCACCCAAAAATGAAAATTTGTTATCCAAGCTGTGGATGAGTTTGTTTCTTCGTCCGAACAGATTTGGATAATTTTAGCATTACATCACTTGCTCATCAATGGATCCTCTGCAGTGAATAGATGCTATTAGAATGTGAGCCCAAGCGGCTGATAAAAACATCACAATAATCCAAAAGTAATCAACATGATTTGTGGGTTACTTTTGGATTACTGTGATATTTTTATCAGCTGTTTAAACTCTCACTCTAACGGCACCCATTCACTGCAGAGGATCCATTGATAAACAAGTGATGTAATGCTAAAGTTCTCCAAATCTGTTCCGATGAGTAACTGATGGTTATTTTTTCATGGACTCAGTGCAAATCCTTTTACAGTTACAAAACTCACTGAATCATCAAAGCAGAAAAAGTGTCCTTATTTGTATCTACAGAGAGGCCTGGGCGCTTACAGCTTCATAATTTTTGCCTGCATCTGTCTCGCCACACTTATATACATCTGGGTGATCATCCCAGAGACCAAAAACAATACCTTTCTGGACACCAGCAAGCTTTTTGCTCAGAGAAACAAGGTGGACATTGTGGTGGAGGGTGGGGAATCTGAGGTCAAAGAGACTGGAGAGGAAAGCAGCGAACAAGAAATAAAAAACACATTTCTCTGAATGGATAAGTTGTTTACACAGGACATGTTCTTGTCTGCAATGCTTTGAATTGTTTTAATGCACTTAATTTTTTTAGTGTCTTCCGGGTTTTGAAAGCAAGAACAGGTCCTGTATTATAACACTAAAATATTGTGCCTTTTCATTGTCATCTTTATTTGGGGTCTTTACAAATAAGAATGTACAAGAAATGAAAAAAAAAAATCAGGTTTAAAATGCATGAGCCAACTTCTTGTATTGATTATTTTCATATGGTGACAATTACATTAACATTATTACATTTATTGAGAACTGATGTAATCCAGTAAAAAGTCAAGGGAAATTTACTGCAGAAAATGTTGTGCAGTATTGAGTGCATTTATAATTCTTTATAATAATTGCATTGCATATTTTACAATACTGCCATGTCATAAAGGTCAAACTATTTTTTGAAAGACTTTATGACCTTAAGGGTTTGTTGCATCATATGACTTTGATTTTTTTTTTGATTTGGACAAATGTATTTTAATGAAGGTGCTTCACTGCCTAATTTCTTTTCTAAGAAGCAATAATAAAATATTTTATTTCTAAAATGTTTTTGTGATATCAAGAATTTCTTTCTTTCAGAAATTAGAAACATGCTCTTAATAGATATTTAAGGTATAGAATAGTATGCACAAAGTGCATTTGGAATAAATGAATAGATTTGGACTGTTAAGAAGGTTAAGAATATAAATGTTTATTGAAATTCTTCAGATATGATTCACATTATTCAGCTGGGTAAAAATAGATTGAAATGCTTGTATTTAAAATACAGATAGATTAGAATATCTTTCTCAATTGCAATTAGTCCCCAGGGAGAGTATACAGTTCAAGTTAGCAGAGCTAATATTGCTGATATTGACATTCATTTGAAAAAGTTCTTAGCCTGTGGCAATCTCTTTCTCTCTCAGAGGCAAACCTGCTCAGTCTGCACCTGAACTCCTCCATACAGACTGAGCGGAGTGATTCCCCAGCTCAGGACATTCCCTTTCACCTTGCCACTATCACACAACATTTGCTCCTTAATCTCTGCCGCAGTCAGAACATAATCCCACACATTTACATCGGTCATGTGCCCTACAAAAGCAACACTGTCCGAGATCCCTAAAAGGCCATCCTGGTCCTTTCCCAAAATGAGGTTTCCTCCAGCTGGAATGGTGTATCCTGCCCGAATGTACCGCTCTTTCCCGACCAGTCCGTTCACCCACAGTTCAACCCCTCCGGTGTGTGACGACCAAGTAAAGCAGTAGTTTGTCCAATCGTTGGATTGATGTTCGAATGGTAAATTCACAAACTCATCTCCGATCCAGAGACCCACTTCGGTGCCCAAAGTGATCATGAGCTCATTGTCACGTGCCGTGAAGTAAGAAAGCACGGTGAGGTCTTGTACGGGCGGAATACGGACGTTCATGCAGGCTGTGAAGGATTGGAGGTTCATGGGGTGGGATAAGACCACCATGGCGTAACTCTCCACATTCTTTTTTGGGAAGTAGAGGGCCAGTGGCGATACATGTTGGAGGCCTTAAGGAGGAAAGGTGATGTAAGTCAATAAATAGCATCTCAATTGATTACATTAGTTGTTATGGTATATTTGAATGTCTACAGTTCTAAAACTACAGTTGCACCCACTGCAAAAAATACTCACCTGTACTTGTAGATGATAGTCCATATCAAAGTCAAAGCTAATTTGAATTTAGAGATTGTTTGACAGTGTATTCTGAGATTGACACACATTACATTTAAAGGGATAGTTCGCTCAAAAATAACAATTCTGTTATTTACTCACCCTCCTGTATGACGTTTGTTTTCCATTAAACAAGTTGAATGCAGAATGTCTGAGCTTCTTTTTTATACAATGATGTGCATGGTGAACCGATGGTGTTCAGCTCCAAAAAGGATGAAATACCATACGAACATTATAAAAGTAGTCCACATGACTCATCATACACTATATTCCAAACCTCTGAATACTGTTTTTGTTAACTAAAACTAAAACTATCAAAAATATTTAAAAACATTTCCATTAATTGAAATTAAATAAAATAAATCTGCCTTTGCAACTAATTGAAATAAATACTAATATTACTGAAATAAAAAAGATTTAATAAAAAATTAAACCAAAAAAAGAAATAACTATAAAAGCTAAAAAAAATTAAAATAAGAAAAATAGCAAAACCCACTATATTTCAAACTTCTGAACAGTGTTGTTTTTGTTAACTAAAACTATCAAAATATTTAAAATTTTGATAAACATTTCCATTAATTGAAATTAAACAAAATAAATCTGCTTTTGCAGCTAATTGAAATAAATACTAAAATTATTGATATTTAAAAACATTTTTTTTTAAATTAAACTAAAATAAATAGAAAAAAAATAAAGCTAAAAAAAATAAAAATAAGAATAACAAAACCAAAAAAAGAAATATTAAAAAAAACATTTTTTAAATCTGTTTCTGTAGCCATATGGTAGTTTGTATAAGGAACAGTCACTATTTAAGTCACTTTCCACTAAAACATTTTGCTTGACAGCTTTGGCCACCATTCACTTTCATTGTATGGAAAAAGCAGCTTACGTTCTGTTACAAATAACAGAAGAAAGCCATACAGGTTTCTTAAAGACATTTTTAAAAGAATTAGACATTTAAAGAATTTTTATTTTTGGGTGGACTATCCCTTTAAGATTTCCCTGACATTTCTCATGAAAAGTTATACCTGAAACCGTTTTTTTGTCCAGTGACACAATAAGGCTCTCAATCCTCTTAAGCTTAGCTTCAATCTCCTCCTGACGGCAAATTCCTGCAAGAAACCAAAGAGGAGAGAGGGAGAACATGCTCAGGCACTGCAGGCCTAACAAAGAGCGTTTTTCATAACTGCTGGAAAGGATGAAGCTCTGCCCTAACCTCCTTTGCTCAGGCGTGGGAGGAAAGAGGACTCCACCACTCTGTCATTCAGAGGCTGGGCCATGCGGTAGTCGTTCCACAGGGTCTTATTTTCATGGTCCATTAATGTGCTCTCCAATTTCCTGATCTGAAGGTCACCACATTAAAAGTTAAAGGAAAGCAAAAAAGATTTAAAACTTTTTCATGAGGACTTTTGGAGGCACCTGATTGTGAGAGAGGGTGATGGGCGTATCAAATACAGTCCACAGAATGCTCTCATGGCACGGCGGTGTGGTGAGAGAGCCCTGATATCTGAAAAAGTGACTCAAGTTGTCTGGAAGCATGGAGCGTACGTTCAAGTTGGTGATATTCATAGCCTGACCTGCAAAGAGCGAGAGAGGAAAATACAGAAAAGAAGTGGATATACGAGGCAGCATAGAATGAAACATTTTTGCGATGGTCATCCAAAATGTTTTGCATTACCTGCATACTTGATGTTTGCCAGGTTTGCAATGAAATCACTGTAGTACGTGTTCTCAAAATGACCATCCTAAACACAAAGTATCCATATATCAAATACTGTAAATGAATAGTAATATATATATAAATAAATGAACTTCAAAAATATATATATTCAAAATATATAAATAACAGACAGACAGTCAGATATAAATTGTTACAATTCATTACTATTGTAAAAATATCATAAAAAATCTAAATTTATTAAAAAAATATAACACTAATAATATTTTTGGGAAAATATATAAATATACTAGAAAATGTATTCAAAAGTCAGAATAAATATAAAAGTATTATAAATATACTTTTCAAAATATATATGATCTGTTTTATATTGTATTATTTAACAGTAAGTTGAAACTAAAGGTGGTATTAAACTAGTGGCATGGTGATACTAGCTATAACTATAGGTCTATGTGAAGTTGATCGAGCCACTCAAGTGTAAACATTTTCAGATAAAACATTCTTTTCAGAATAATTCACATAGACAATCATTTTCCCTGTTAGACAATAATTAACATTTTTCATTTTCATTTTTCTTTGAAGATAATTTGCTTTCCCTTATTCCCGTTAGATGGCGGCACTGCACCACAATAAATATATATTTTTTTAAAGAGTCATAAAAAATACAAACATTATTCTAATTTCAAACAGGGTGAAAAAGATGGTTACAGCCAGCCTTACCTCATAAAAAAAGGCTAAAACTGCAAGACCGTCTTGTTTATCTTTGGCCTCGTGGAAGCTGCTGTACTTATCAGAGTTGTAGTGAACAACATGCAGCTGTGACACAAGAAGTCAAACAGGAAGGGGCTAGAAATGACACTTAAAATTGAGTAATGTTAGATTCAAAACATATATTGGGTTAAACAAGTCCTTCCGTATTGCTAAATTAAAGTTTCTCAACACTCTTGAGCAACCTAAACGCAGGAATGCTGTTTATAAATCAATACACTTTATAATAGAACAATGATAACTACATATTTGTCTAAAATAGAAGCTGACATACTGTAGTAAGATTTCAGGCACATGTCCAGCATCACTTGAACAGATAAGCCCTCAACCATAGTCACTGAAGGAAACAATGCCTTAACAGCATTGCTTTATATCTAGGATGTCTCTAAACGTATATTCATTCATGTGTTGGGCTAAAATGAATGATGTAAATACTTCTGCCATGTAGCGGATGCCGTCCACTGTGTGCTCTGATCCACTGGCCTCCAAGTCCCAGCCTCCCCAGTGCAGATGCATCTGGACAGCAGTGTAGTGGTCTGGAAAGCCCTTGGTAATCTTCATAGTCTGTGGCAGCTGAATTTCCACTGTCAAAAACAAACAAGATTGTGGACTACATTCTAAAAGCTCATCTATCCTGTAAAGATTACATGGACTGAAGTAGTAAGAGGGAAGTATATACTGTTAGTACAAAATAGATACATTTATTTTGGCCACTTTTTGACACGAGGGGGCGACAAAATCAAGATAACAGATCTACATAACAATTGCAGGCGGTTTATATTAGTTTGAAAATAATAACAATGAAGAATTGTCCATTGATTTGAAATGGTTCTAATATAAGAATTCATACCAGAATGTCCATTGTTGGTCATGCGAAAGCTGCCGTGCATGTCCTCATAGCCTGTCAGCTCGAGCTGTAGCAGTCGCGGATTGTACCGCACTTTGCGCCGCTGTATGTCAATGGGAGACTGCTGGTCGCCGTCGCACTCGGGAAACTTTTCTGCCCAGTGCTTCTGATCCAGTTCTCCTTCTGAATGAAACAATGAAAGTCATTTAAGCAGAGCGCGACACATTTCTCGTATACAATATAAAACGCAGCCGATTATAATAATTTGGGGGGGGGGGGGGG